GCCAATTTACTACAATTAAAACGCTGGAAAGCATTGGTGGCACTAAACATATAATCTCACAACCTGCACCTTTCTTACATTCTGAGACCCAAACAAATTCAGCGCCTTCTGTGCTTTGATTATAACTAATGATCATATTTTTATGGGTGTCTTGATAACAACAGATTTGTGGTTCGATTTGTGAATTGTAAGTGCTGAATCGTGGTTCGGATCGTCACTTATCCGACGATCCACACCCCTAATGCTCATGGGGGGTAAAAGGTTAAAGCAGCACACAAAAACTACCATCTCAACTAATGTTCCAAAATTTTCTTCAAAATCATTATGATTTTTATAGTATGACACTTTAAAATATTCATATATTTGAACATTTTTTGCTCTTCAAAATTGTCTTTTGGCCAACAGGTTAAAATTATACCTTCTTTAATTATACTACAGAATTCGGAGAATTCATTCATGAAGGTTTTTATAGCCTGTAGATTATATACATGTAGTGAACTTAACTGCTTCCAAAGTTGTTCAAAGAATTTGCTTCCAAGCAGGAATCTGGTTGCCATGGTTATAAGAAAAAGATGTAAAAAAATCTTCCTTTAAAGACCCACATTAGTTAGTTTTAAGTATTTATAAGGCATTGTCTAATAGGCAAGGGGTTAGATATTTGTCATGAAACATTGTGTAGTCAACCTATACCAAGATTGTTAAAATTATATCCCTGGGGTCAAAATTGGCAAAGACTTGGTGGGTCATTGATTTTCATTATTGTACAAATAGTAAAAACTTAAAAATCTTCTTGGCTGAAAGGAAACAACTTATATTGGAATGCTGCCAGTTTTTAAATTACTGTCAGACACTATATAATTATATTGTGACCTCCTAGTTTATAGAACTTTCAACATAAAATATTTACTTTGTGTGATGTCAAAATGTGTTTAGTTTATAAATGTAGTAAATTGCCCTATGGTCAAAATTGGCCCCATCTTGGGGGTAAAGTATTTTCCTTACATGTAAAAATTTAAAGACTCTTTTTCTTCAAATTACTAGGGTTAGAGCATAGGTATTTAGTAGTAAACATTGTCTAGTGAACCTTTATTGTCCCCCGCCTTTTCATATATAGAAATAGGCTCTGTCCGTCCGTCACACTTTCGTGTATGGTTCGTAACTGTCATTTATCAATGAAATTTGAAATTACTTGGCACAAATATTTTTTGTTGGATGATTTGTCATGTGCTAAACCAGACCCCTACCTCCAAGGTCAAGGTCACCCTTGGTGATGAAAGGTCAGCATTGTCTATATGAGAGTATATGTGGTGTTTGGTCCATAACACTTATCCATGAAGGGATTTTGAAAATACTTGGCACAAATGTTATCAATAATGAGACAATATGTCATACGCAACAACCAGTCACCTACCTCCAATGTCAAGGTCACAGTTGAATGTCAAATATTAACATAGTCTGTTATAGGGTATATTTTGTGTCTGGTCCATAACTTCTTAAAAGATCAAGGGATATTGAAATTACTTGGCACAAATGTTCACAAAAATAAGAGGATGTGTTGTGCGCAACACCCAGACCCCTACCTCAAAGGTCAAAGTCAAACTTGGAGGTTAAAGCTAAAATAGCCTGTGGTATGATGCCAAGTGAGGCCCATGCAAATAAAATGTTATTGATGAATTGCCCACATACCTTGATTGATGACTGGACATGAAAAACATGTATATTAACCATATAACAGGCCATATCCTGTATTGATTTTGTATTTTGTCATAGGCCTAAGAGATTAATAACAAAGCATTTGAACGAAAAAACATGCACTATTCTACAACAATGCTCAAAGAATTTAAATATCTATTTCCATTCTAACATGTCAAGAAGAAATAAAATAATTATTTTGTAGTTGGGACTTTATGTTTGGTGGTTAAATTTGTTTTCGCCTCGGCTTCCAATAGAAACGTTCACTATTCTACAACAATGCTCAAAGAATTTAAATATCTATTTCCATTCTAACATGTCAAGAAGAAATATAATAATTATTTTGTAGTTGGGACTTTATGTTTGGTGGTTAAATTTGTTTTCGCCTCAGCTTCCAATAGAAACGTTCTTTAAACTTTTTTAAGGCTGTTCCAGTGAGTTGGAAAAAAAAAACTCGTTAATTTAATGTGTAGAAACATTTTGAGGATAACGAATTTTGAAAACTTTGATAAAACTTTGTTTATTTAATTTCACTCTATATTTTTCAAGCGAAATACAAGGTATAAATAGTGAAAATAAGGAAATTTAACTTGTTTGCGACATTGAAATAGCGTTCTTGATTTAATTGTTTTGCATGTGCTGTTTGGCGCTACATTGTGACGTCACGTAAACAACACTTTAAGCGTCTGTACAGCGTTAACAACTGAATTAAAGATATTGGTGCTCGGATTCATTTTCTTAGTTAGATCATTTTCTTTCATTCGAGATAATTTTCACAACAAAATTCGACAAAAAATTGTTTTTAATTTATCAGAATTTTCAAACAAAATGGCGCTGCCATTGTGTCGGTTTGAAAATATACAGGGTGGTAGTAAGAACGGCCAGTGCATTGTTGTAGAATGATGCATGCTTCCGGCCTTCTTTGTTTATATAGAAAAATTTCTGATAGTGTAAAAATAAAAATTTTGCTTTGAAAGTCCAGATCCATACCTCAGTCTTTTGAAATAGCACAATTTTGTGGTTCATGTAAAACTTCCCTTAGGCAGGAGACATTGGTTACTCTTTTACAAATTCTTGTTCAAATTATTATAGCTTTGGGGTCAAAATTTGCCCTACCCCAGGTCATGGCTTTTCTTCCCTTGATGGATACATCAAAGGATTAAGCAGGTCAAGTTAGAATTTGGTCATGGTTCAATGAATTTTGGCAGAGTAATGCTCCTTAAACTTTGAAAAAATAAGAAATTTTCAGTTTCCTTTCATTATCTCCGGTCCCCAACAGTTGTACACATTCGACTCAAATCTGACATATAGATACAACATAGGAATAAGCAGGTCAACAGGTCAAGTTTGAATTTTGGTATTGGATGATTTTTGACAAAGCTACATCTTGAACGTTGGAAAAAATTTGAAATTTTCAGTTTCATCACTTTACTAAATTGTAGAAATGTGTGTATAAGGTTGAAATCACATATGCAATTTAACAAGAAAATACAAGTCAAGTCCGAATTCGGTTTTGGTACAATGATTTTTGACAGTTATCCTTCTTGAATTTAGGAAGAATTAAGAAATTTTTGCTACTACAAATTATGAAATATGCAGTTTGCAAAAGGTTATCACTGAATAGTTTCAGGGCTTTGAACATTGTATAAAAATGGTTTGTGTTAAACATTGAATAGTTTAAGAACTTAGAATGAAAAACTGGTTTGTGCAATTGCCACACTTCTCATCGCCAACATCTCCTTGAAAGCTATTGGTGACGGGCGTATTTTGAGAACATGTTTTCCTGTATCAGTTATTATACTATGGCCTTTGTATCTGAACATTAGACACATCTGCACAATTGAATCCCCATTCCCCCCCCCCCCCCCAAAAAAAAAGTCTCTATAGTCCTAGAGTGGTATTATAATAGATAAAAGTCAATTTCTACAACTTGAATAATAATCATCGTCGGATACCCACGATTGATAAACATGTCACACAACATGCAATCAAAGTTTAATGGTTCGCTAGTGGGTATCCGACGATGAATAATAATATGACTATTAGATAATTTTCAATATAGCCGTTATGTCCATGCTTTGATTCGACCAAGTTTACATTCAATGTCTTAACACATTCAAATTTCAAAAGTCTATAATTGTTTTAATACATTGTCTTGATCACACAACATTATTGGGCCAAATTAGAGTCTAAGAAATAAAATTGCTTTAATTGCTTTTGAACAAAAATTATGTATAAGGAAAGCCTTTACACCATTATGTATATATTATTAGTATGAACATTCATTTTTAGCTCGACTTTTCTATGAAAAGGGGAGCTATCCTACTCGCCCCGGCGTCGGCGTCGGCGTTGGCGTCGGCGTCGGCGTTGGCGTCACACCTTGGTTAAGTTTTTCGTACCACCCCACTTTATTTCAGAAGTATTACAAGTATGGTTTGAAACTTACCATACTTGTTCACCATCATAACCTCCATCTACAGACAAGAGTACATAACTCTGTCAAGGTTTTTGACAGAATTATGCCCTTTTTTTGACTTAGAAAGTGTATTGAGCTTGGTTAAGTTTTTTGTACCACCTCACTTTATTCAAAACCATTGGAGGTATTGCTTTGAAACTGACCATACTTGTTTACCATCACGACCTTCATCAAACAGACAAGAGGACATAACTCTGTCAAGGTTTTTGACAGAATTATGCCCCTTTTTGACTTAGAAAATACATTGAATATGGGTAAAATCCACTTATTGCCTTAACCCTTTGAGATATTGCTTTGAAACTTTTAATGCTATTTCACTCATTACCCCCATCTGTACGCAAGAGAAGGTAACTCTGTCAAGGATTTGTTTTAAAAATTAAGGCCTTTTATCGACTTAGAATCTTGGTTAAGTTTTTAGTACCAGTCCACTTTTTGACTGAACTGTTTGAGATATTAATTTGAAAGTTGGAATACTTGTTTACAATCATGATTCCCAAACATGTCCAGGAGAAGGTAATTCTGTCAAAGATTTTATTTGAATTATGGCCCTTAACTGTCAATGTTTTGTATTATAGGCAAGCACTAAAAAACTTTGCTGCAGTGTTCAAGGGTATCACACAATTCAGTAAAATAATTCTTCACTAAATATCTTAATGCTCATGGCCATTGTTCACTTTAAAAATACAGAGATTCTTGTATTGCCTTTTACTGCAAAAACTTTTTTTATTGGCAAGCAATAAAAAAGTCGAGCGCGCTGTCTTACGGACAGCTCTTGTATCACAATCTTCTTGTGATGCATATTAGTAAACGTTTTATTTCTTTCTATTTTCAGTATGTGATGTGTTATTTCTAAAGCATCAACTTTTAATCAACATTGAAAAGTAAAGAAGTGATTGCAAGAATGGTAATCTTTTAAAAACCGATTTCATTGTGTTTGTTTTTTGAATATTTGAAAATATTAAAAAAAGAAAAGAAAATAACCCTTCCCTCAAGTGCTCAGTATAAGCAAATCATAGGTGCTCGCCTTTTTAAATTTTCAATCATAATTAAATGGACATAGTCTATTCAAGAGAAATTACCTAATACAACTTACGTAATGTATAAAAGTTTATGAACAGATGATATTCTTTGTGGGATTGTTAGTGATTCTGTTTTGGTATAAAGAAATTTTCAAGAAATATATGTCCATGATTTTATGATTTTGTTTATAAGAAATGTAGCGGAATTTGATTTTGTCCCATACTGTTAACATGTTATTTTTAGATCCCGTCTTTTATACCTGTTGTAAGCAGGGAAGGTTTAGAATTTTGTTTCAGGGTGTTTGGTGCTGGGCTGACTGACTACTCGTGTTTGGATGTCTTGTTTCGGTAATGTATAAATATGGTAAAGTATTAATTTTATCCGGATATAGTCGTGTAAAGTAAAAATGATCGTAAATTATAATTTTGAGACTGTATTTTAAATTTTACTTAGGGTCTTGTGCGAAAGTGTTGTAACTTTCTTGTGTATTTTGAGTAATAACTGTTTGATCCAAGTGTTTTTAATAAGAGATTATTATCTTCAAAATCATGCCAAATTACGTCATTACATTGTCATATTAAATGAAAGACTTTGATTTGCTTTATACTTGAGGCATGGCATAGTTACTGTTTCTAACATGCAGGAAAATAATTCAGATTGCATATTATCATCATCGAAAAGTTCATCATGACTTTGTCCGAAAATACAATGCTGTATTTTGTGTAAAAAAAGCATTAAGCTTGTTGATGTGTTGAATTTAAACAGCCATGTAGTATAATTGATTGACAGAAGATTGGTGGTTTCGTCAACATGCCAGATCTTGTCTGAAATGATCAGTAAGGCACGGCGGAAAAAATTTCCATATCATCGAACCCCAATAAAAAAGTTTGTGGAAAACGACCTAGCAAAAAGAATTGCTAAATTTTGTTTAAAATATATAATTTTTTGATATGCAAAAACATTGTTTTTTAGTGTTTTTTTAGCAAAGAATTTTTCACAGGTCAGGCGTCGTGGATTAAATTGGTGAAACTTGCCTTTTATATCGGCCATAAAGTGTTTTTGAACAGGGGAAAAAGAAATCGTACCCAATTTTGGGGCTGTTTAAAAACCCGTGAAAGCTTGAAATTGTTTCCACCCTCAACTATGTTCTTTGGGGGGTTTTTTGAAAAATGAACTTTTAGATTTTTTTGCAGCCCTTTTTACATAGTTCACAGGTCCAAAGTCAACCTAGTTTTAAGTAAAATATCATGTTTTCGTAAATCCTATACTATTCTAAAGCTGTTACTGATTAATATAGTTCTTACTAGTTCTTTCAGTGCTAACTTCTTCTAAGGCTAAAATGTAAAAAGGAAACCTACATGTAGTCCTCAAAAAGAATTTATTTTGGCTATCCTTTGAGTCAAAATATTTTCTTGGTTATGGTTATAGATTAAAACATTAGGCCTGATTCTGTCTGCTTTTGGGAAAGGGGTGGGGAGAATTATTTTGGCATTTTTGTTTGATGAGAAGTATATGTGGGATGTACATATTTCCTTCCAAGGATATTTTCAATTCAAGAGTTTGGTTGTCTAGGCGACAGGCTGAAATTAAAATTGAGGGGAATAAATTGTACATGACTTGTATCTTGAGAAATAATGCATACTTATAATGAAAGGGAGAAAACTCTGCTTTTGGTCCACTTAATGTTGACCCATATTTGTTGTATACATGTTAAGTATACATCGTTAATACATGTACATACATCATATGCAGCTTATTTGAAGACAATAAATTTTGCTGCAGTGACATGTGTATTACAGTGATTTATATACTTAAATCTTCTACGAAAACACCAATTGATATTTTCTTGATATAAAATAGTTATTGGATTAAAGCAGCATGCCTCTAGATTCACTCATTTTCATGAAAATTTTGAAAATATATTTAAAAGAATACCTATTATTGTGAAGTGAACAAAGAGAGTTGTTAACCAATTGCAAACAGTGCTTACAATCCAAAAGATGTCAAAATATGCAAAAATTGCCTGAAAGTCACACAATAGAAATTTGGTGATAAATACAGCATGATCACTTACTAATCACACATATTATGTAAATTAATACTCAAATTTTTAATCATTTTACTTTTCTGAAAAATTAAGTACATTTTTCTCGAGTTGTCTTAAAATATTTTGGTATATTTGGAGGCATGCAGCTTTAAGTCCAAAATTTTTAAAAGTTTCTTTTTACAAAAAACAAGATTATCCTTCTGCTTGTCAGTTTAAGCTGAAAGTACTGAAACTGGAGCTGAAATTAGCTCTCATTCTAATATGAATTGAAATTTAAAAAAAAATGTTTGTTTTAAAATTACCCCCCTTGTGTAGCTGTGTTAACAAAATTACTTCTATTATTTTTTTTTGCCTTTTGTATTGATGTATGACATTGGTGTTTTGGTAGAAATACTCAATATTATGAGCCCATGATTACATGGGACAAAAAAATTAACAACAAACAGAAGTATTTGTAATACCTAGAAACTAATTGTATATTGGTTATAATTCTTTTCACTAGACATTTGCAAATTTGTTAGAAAATGTAATGAATTTTTATTTTCTAAATCTGAACATTACAAATACTTCTGTTAATTATGAGCCCATGTGTTATAAATGGGACAAAACAACACACAAAATTCACAAATTTGTCCTTGGATATGACATTCTTACTGTCAAAATTGAATTAAATGATGAGTGGTTTTTGGCAGTTTCTTAATGCTGAAATTTTCACTGGAAATTGATCTCTTGTTGTGCATGTGATGAAGTAATACTGGACGAAGGTTAAGGTCATTGTTCTGCTCTAGTCATAAAGTTGAGGTCATTTGACATGCAATGTATACTCAGAGTCTGTCATTTTATGAAGTGGAAGGTCAAGGTCATTTGACGTGTGTTCTCTGATAAGTAGGTCAAGGTTATTTGACATGTTTCGTCTGAGGCCCTTAAAGGTCATGTGACATGCTATGTATTCTCTGAGTTGAGAACGTGACGTGCTATGTATTCTTGGGTCTTGGAAGGGTCAAAGTCTTTGTACAATAACTGGTAAATTGTTATGGTCAAGGTCACAGTTTGAAAGGCCAAATATTTCAATACTTGGATGAAAAAAAAAAACTGTTGACCGGCTTGATGAACTAGGAAAATGGTAGTGCCATATATTAAATTATTGTTTAATGAAGTGTTACAATCTAGTCAATGGCACTTGTTATTTTGTAAAAACATGAAATACGAAGAAATAGCCGTCTTGCTTAGAAGTAGGGTAGAAATAAGATTTCATGAGAATATTCAGTCCAATTTTACGAGCATGCCACATTTCTTGAAAACATTTACAAATTCTTATAAATTAAGAGAAGCTTTAAAGAATAATTGTAGGTAATTGCAATGTCAGGGGTCGCAATTGTCATTTAACTTGGTATGTTATCAGTGGGTTATGGCTGTATAAACGTAAGACATAATTACTCAAATGTCAAGGTCAAAAGTAGATGTCAAAACAAGGTCAGAACATTTTGTCCTTTGATGTGTGATATTTTTATTACTATTGAGCATTTCGAAGAATTGCATTGTATTTGATGTTTAAGAAAAACATGGGTCAAGGTCAAATGTAGTTTAAAGTTTTAGTTGCTATTTATTTTGGCCATTTAGCATGATGAAACTTAAGATGTAAAGAATATGTAGGTCAAATGTCATTTATATTTTCAAGGTCAAATGTCCGAAAATAAAAGAAAGCTTGGTCTGTACCGTAACTTACATACTGCAATTTAGAATAACAAATACTTAGGCAATGTATTTGATATGGATAATATCTTACTTTATTCAAAGATACCAAGTTGTGTTTAATATGGGGCAAGTTGAAAAATCAGATGGAACAACCTGCCACACACTGATGAACTCTAAAATGTATCTGCAGAATTGTTTTCTGTCCAGAGACCTTCTGTTGTGTACAAGACCCATGTATGTTGCAACTAGGTTAAGGTCACCATCACATTGAGGTCAAATATAAGAAATTACTATTTTCTTTTCTCATTACACCTGGCTGTGTTTCATTGCCTATAATGACTCTATCCCTGTTATATAGACCTCGCTCCAGTTAAATCGGATTATTTCTCAACAACTTGTGTTTGGGATCATTGAGGGAGGTCACTCTCCAAGGCCAATAACTCTAGTATGGATTTTGTGAATTTTTTGCATTATGGCCCTTTGTGAACTTGGAAATTACTTGTTTAAAGTTTCATGTGCATCATAAGTCTTTAAAACAATACATGTCTTTGGGGTCACTTTCCAAGGTCCACACTGATAATCAACTTATATAGGTTTTGACCTAGTGACCTACTTCTTGTTTGAATTACAGCTTTCGACCAAATGCACAGTTAGATTTGAAATGGAACTTTGATATCGGCTGACCTAGATTTTGGCCTAGTGACCTATTTTCTTGTCCTTTGATGTACAGCTATGAAATTTAGGTCATGTGCACAGTATTATTAGATGTAAAATTAAACTTGGATATCAGCTGACCTAGATTTTGATTTAGTGACCTACTTTCTTGTATATCAGCTGACCTAGATTTTGATTTAGTGACCTACTTTCTTGTATATCAGCTGACCTAGATTTTGATTTAGTAACCTACTTTCTTATTCTTTGAAGCTATGAAATTTGGACCACATGCTCAGTTTCAGACGTGAAATTGAACTTTGATATCAGCTGACCTAGAGCTTGACATGGTGACAAACCTTGGCTTTTTTACTTGTTTTCTATAAAAAAAGATTTAAAGGTTTATTTAAACCTTTTATTTGTTTGCTTTTGCAAAAATTTAAAAAGTCAACCTGTGGCTCCTGTATTGTCCGTCCCTCAGAACTGTGACTAGTCCATAACTTTGTTATTTATGGATTTACTTTTAAATAAATGTGTAGCCATGTGCAACATCTAGGTCTGAAGCTCAAAGGTCATGGTCACACTCTGACTTTAAATGTAATTTATAGGAAAATATGCACTGATGTTTGTGTCCGATGTCATTAATCGATGGGTTTTGAATTATTAATATTATGGGTAAATGTGTTTCACATAATTACATGTGCACAGCGCAAGTATTGGGTTCCTACATCAAAGGTCAATGTCACCAATGTAGACCAAAAGTAATGATATGAATCTTTATAAAAATGCACTGATGTTTGTGTTTGGTCAACAATCCTGTCATTTGTGGATGGATTTAAAAATTATTATGCATAAATGTTTTTTAAAGTGTTGCAAGCATGAATCAGTTCCCTAGCTCAAAGGTCAAGGTCAAACTTGTTTTCCAAACTGGTGACGATTTTTTCATCAATATGCATAAATAGTTGTGTCCAGTCAACAATTCTGCCATTCTTGGATGGATTTTAAAATAATTTGACATAAATGTGTTGGACATGATGATGAAGTGTCGTGCAAAGGGATCAACTTCAATTATCCAGTTCAAAGGTCAAAATCACTCGTGTATGTCAAATTTGATGAATGTGAATAGATTGTCTTCTTTTGTGCATGGCTTTGGCATTTGTGGACAGATTTTGAAATAATTAGTCTTAAATATGCTACTTATTAAGATGATCTGTAATGAGCAAAATTAAGTTCAAGGTCACAGTAGCACTTTTAAGGTTTATAGTTTCATAAAAGTACATTAAAGGTTATATCTAGTCATCAATTCTGTCTTGTTTATGCATCTTTTTATACCACTTATATGACTTTATTTATAACAAATTTATTTAACTTAATTATAGTACATCACATGTCATATGTAAGTACAAGGTCAACATCTTTTAGAATTCAAACATGTACTGAATGTGTTAGTTACTATGTATAACCCCCATGGAGTACTGACTTCTTATTTCAATTAGAGCCTCTCTCATAACCATCACTTATATATTTCATACTTCTTTCAAGTTTTATTCCTCATTTGGTCATAAGAGTATTGACCTATATTGAAATAAAACAATGAAACAAAAACACTACAAAGTATTAACCACCTAAAGAGCCCATAAGTTAATCTTGTACATCTATTTAGCTAAAACTTAAAGGTTTTAGTCATCAACAGTTTAATTTCCTGCACAATAACAGCTGCTTTTATTATTTAGTTAGAATCAGTATTGAACAAACTTGAATCATCTGTACATTCTGGAGTTGTAGCCCCTTAAAGATCTGTGATCCAATCATGCTTGACAGAGTTGTAGCCCCTTAGAGATATGTGATCCAACAATGCTTGACAGGAGTTGTAGCCCCTTAAAGATCTGTGATCCAATAATGCTTGACAGAGTTGTAGCCCCTTAAAGGTCTGTGATCCAATCATGCTTGACAGAGTTGTAGCCCCTTAAAGATCTGTGATCCAATCATCTTTGACAGAGTTGTAGCCCTTTAAAGATCTGTGATCCAATCATCTTTGACAGAGTTGTAGCCCTTTAAAGATCTGTGATCCATTCATACTTGACTCCCAGTAGATACATGATAATGGTTTGACTCAATCATGCATTTCAAAGTTGTGGTCTCCTATGTATGGATTTAGTGTTATTGATGCTTATTTGTTTATATAATAGTAATAAAGTGAGTTAACTGAAATGAGTTTGTATCCGGCAGAATTCAGATGTATTAGGGCATTAAGCACTTTGTTATGCGAGGGTCAAGTGGTTAAGGTCATTGACTTCAAAACACTTCCTAAAGTGCTGTTTTTTTGAAACCGGCTAGGGACTTTTGATTCCTTCTTTGTGGGAGCTATCCAGCTAGCTTATGGAATATCAGTGGCTCTTCTTAGGTGCCTGTTCATGCCTGAAATAACGCTCGGAGGTAAACCTGAGGTAGTCTTCCACCAGTAAAGCTGGAATGTCGCCTTAAGACTTTTATAGTGTTGATGCAATAAATTCCCAACTAAATAAAACACCAAAAACAGTTTTGTGAGGTGTATTCACACAGGATGTAGTTGGTAGAGAAATAAGCTATTTATGACACTATGTGCACTTGGGTTGTGTTTTTTGTTGTGGATAAATAAAGGAAGTAGAATATGCGTGAAGAAATGAGAGTTACAAAGTGAAATGTGAGGTGAAATGTATTGACAGATATGTGTGTGTTGCAAAAAGGTGTATTGACAAATGAGGATGTAAGTGCTGAGTTGAGATGTATGGACAAGTGGATATAAGGTGTTATGGCAGATGATGTAAAAGTGTGCCAAGTTGTGATGTTATGACAGAAGATAATGTCAAAGTGTATGGATAGAAGATGATGAAATAGTGTGCAAAGTTGAGGTGTATGGACATAAGATGTGTAAGGAGTTCAGGAGTATTGACAGAAGTGGGTATTATTATTAAGTGAGGTGAGTTGAGATGTACGGACAAAAGAGAATATAAAGTGTGCTGCAAAAGAAAATGTATTGAACAGTTGAGGATGTTACAGTGTACTGTACTGACATTGTAGTATATAAAATTAAACAGGATGTATAGTGTTTTGAGGTGTGCTGTATTGACAATGGAGGATGTATAGTGTTCTGAGGTGTGCTGTATTGACAGTGGAAGATGTATAGTGTTCTGAGGTTTGCTGTATGGACAATGGAGGGTGTATAGTGTTCTGAGGTTTGCTGTATGGACAATGGAGGATGTATAGTGTTCTGAGGTTTGCTGTATTGACAATGGAAGATGTATAGTGTTCTGAGGTTTGCTGTATTGACAATGGAAGATGTATAGTGTTCTGAGGTTTGCTGTATTGACAGTGGAGGATGTATAGTGTTCTGAGGTTTGCTGTATGGACAATGGAGGATGTATAGTGTTCTGAGGTTTGCTGTATTGACAATGGAAGATGTATAGTGTTCTGAGGTTTGCTGTATTGACAATGGAAGATGTATAGTGTTCTGAGGTTTGCTGTATTGACAGTGGAGGATGTATAGTGTTCTGAGGTTTGCTGTATTGACAATGGAAGATGTATAGTGTTCTGAGGTTTGCTGTATTGACAGTGGAGGATGTATAGTGTTCTGAGGTGTGCTGTATTGACAGTGGAGGATGTATAGTGTTCTGAGGTTTGCTGTATTGACAGTGGATGATGTATAGTGTGCTGAGGTTTGCTGTATTGACAGTGATGGATGTATAGTGTGCTGTGGTTTGCTGTATTGACAGTGGATGATGTATAGTGTTCTGAGGTGTGACATATTAAGAGTGAAGGCTGTATAGTGTTCTAAGGTGAGATGTATTGACAGTGGAGGATGTATAGTGTTCTGAGATGAGCTGTATTGATGGAGGATGAATAGTGTTCTGAGGTGAGATGTATTGACAGTGGAGGATGTATAGTGTTCTTTGATGAGCTGTAACAACAGTGCAGGAAGTGTAGTGTTATCAAATGAGATTTATTGACAGTGGAGAATGTATAGTGTTTTGAGGTGAGATTTATTGGACAGTGGAGGATGTATAGTGTTCTGAGGTGAGATTTATTTGCAGTGGAGGTTTATAGTATTCTGAGGTTTGCTGTATTGACAGTGAAGGATGTTTAGTGTTCTGAGATGAGATGTATTGACAGTGGAGGATGTACAGTGTTCTGAGGTAAGCTGTATTGACAGTGGAGGATGTGTAGTGTTCTGAGGTGTGCTGTATTGACAGTGGAGGATGTGTAGTGTTCTAAGGTGTGCTGTATTGACAGTGGAGGGTGTATAGTGTTCTGAGGTGAGATGTATCAACACTGGAGGATGTACAGTGTTCTGAGATGAGCTGTATTGACATTGTAGGATGTGTAATGTCCTGAGGTGTGCTGTATTGACAGTGGAGGATGTATAGTGTTCTGAGTGAGATGTATTGACGGTGTCTAAGGTGTGCTGTATTGACAGTGGAGGGTGTATAGTGTTCTGAGGTGAGATGTATCAACACTGGAGGATGTACAGTAATAAGTATAGTGTTCTGGCTTGAGATGTATAAAACAGTTGACTCTAGAAAATGAGATGTATTTTATAATAAGGATGTAAAATGTGCTTAGTTATGGTGGAAAATATAGTGCCCTGAGGTAACATGTATTAGCAGTGGTGGATGTATAGTGTGCTGAGCTAAGATGATTTAACAGAGAAGGATAAAATGTATGCTTAGTTATAGTAAATCAAGGTTCTAGGGTAAAAGTGAATCCTGCCCTGTGTGTCAATTAATTTGTATGCAGCAACATTTTTCTACTCGCCCAGTATCAAGCTCTTAAGTAAATTCTACTAGTAATTACAAGTGAAATTTTTAATCTCTGCTTATGATATACATTATATGTGTGATTCTAATTTTGATGTTTACACATCAATTGTATGACTAGATCTTTATATGTACTTTGTTAAATTAATCATACATGTCTTTTCTTTATATTTCAGAACATGACGATCTTTGCAATGTATTAATGCTTGCTGAATGTATAAATTTTGGTTTATTACGAGATTTTGCTAATACTGAGCACATATGAGAATGTCCAAAGTGATAAATTACACTTCCTTTTTGCCAAAACTAAGAAGAATTTATGCAAAAAATGAAATGTTTTATTTTTGTCCATATTGTCACATATTCTTATTATATTTTCATTTGATGACAATAGCAATGTAAGATTGTTAGGTACGAGGGCTTTGATGAATGTTATTTATTTGTATTTCAGGCTCCTCTAGATCCACAGTCATTACTGAAGGCCTTAAATGAGCTGCTAGGACCCAATGGTGCTATTGTTGGAACAACTGAAGCTGTTAGAGTTGCTAAGTAAGTGTATTATCATGGCCCGGGGGGATGAACATTCTTAAAATGGCTGGCAGGAAAGTGAAACATCCTGAAAGATATTAAAAATGAATTAAAATGCCTTTGAAATGGCATATAGTGTGGTAAAACTTCTAAAACATGGCATATAGTGTGGTAAAACTCCAAAAACACGGCATATAGTTTGGTAAAACTCCAAAAAACATGGCATATAGTGTGGTAAAACTCCAATGACATGGCATATAATGTGGTAAAAAACCATTACAATGGCATATAATGTGGTAAAAAAAATCAATAGAAAGGCATAGTGTGGTTAAAACCATTAATTAAGAAAGCATATAATTTGGTGGAAATGTTATTTAGTGTGGTAAAACTCCTAGGAAATGTTAGGTTGTTTGGTAAAACGCCTTGGAAATGTTATGAGATGTTGAAGTTTGGTAAAACTCCTAGGAAATGTTATGAAGTGTGGTAAAACTTCAAGGAAATGTTATGTAGTGTGGTAAAACTCCTAGGAAATGTTATGAAGTGTGGTAAAACTTCAAGGAAATGTTATGTAGTTTGGTAAAACTCCTAGGAAATGTTATGTAGTGTTGAGGTGTGGTAAAACTTCTAGGAAATGTTATGTAGAGTGGTTAAACTCCTAGGAAAGGTTATGTATTGTGGTAAAACTCCTAGGAAATGTTATGAAGTGTTCAGGTGTGGAAATAGTACTAGAAAATGTTATTTAGTGTGGTAAAGCTCCACAAATAGCATTTAATGAAGTTCATGTATAACTTCCTTGATATTAAATATTGTAAGTAAAACGTAATTGAAACGGTATGTAATGGGTAGCTGATTTAAATTGCCTAATTAAGCATAGAAAATCTTTGAAAAATGCATATAGTCTATGAAGTTCATTAATATGTTATATAGTGAGTTAAAACTTACCAGAAATATCTGTCATTTAAATGGGGATTACTTCCTTGGCATAAACATAGGTAAGAGCGTCTTTGAAATTTAGTGTAGTTGATATAGCGTTCTTGAAATGGCATGTTGTGTGGTAAACCCTGTCGAATAGATGTAGCAGTATTTGTAGGACTGGTAGTGAGGTAAAACTTTTAATTGGCATATAGGTAATATATTATCATATATTAGCATATAGGGCAGTATAAGATCCTTCAAATGGAATTTAGTTAGGTAAAACTTCTTTGAAATAGCATATAGTTTTGGCAAAACTAGGGCAACAGCATATGGTGAGGTAAAATCTCCTGGAAAAAGCATATATTTAGATTTAGCTCCCCTGAAATGCATCCAGGGAGGTATAATTTCCTGATGATGGCATATTATGATACGCATGTAACTTACTTGAAATAGAAGATTATTTGGTATATTGCCTTTATGGGCACTAATAGTTCATTATTCAAATGGGAAATAGTATCTTTTTGTGTTAAATTTTCAAGCTGTTTTCAACTACAAATAACAGCAATGATGTCAATTTTAATAAAGACAACTCCCGATGTCTCAATGAAAAAAAATAATATTTGTTGATTCATAAGAAAATACTTCCCTATGTGTTGAAATATGTAATTTGTGCCATTTCTAGTCTTGAATTTCACAAACTTAATTATAAATGAAAATTGTATATACTAAAGGTTGTGGATTTATGCCATTTTTTAATTGCTCATAAAACAATTTGACAAAAATTAGAATTTGAGCCAGTGCTATGTTCTTATATTGGTTTCTTTCTATTTTCAGTTTGATGAAAGATGCCAACAAATTAGTGAGCAAGTGTGTATACATTAACATCCTCAAAGTTGAGACACCAGCTGAGATACTAGAGAAGTAAGATTTTTGTTCACTGTCGCCATGGAGACACAATTTTTAAGTTTGATTTATTCTTAACCCTTAAAGTGCTGGAACCAAAAGTGTTAAGCCTTGCCACCAGTATAGAGCCAGGCCAGCCTGCACATCCGTGCAGTCTGACCAGGCTCTATACTGTTGGCTCACAAAACTTTAAATATTCAAATTGATTATGAAACTTTGCAGAAGTATACTATAAAGTAGCTGTGGATTTCTAAAATCTTAAATTTTAACAGATTGCGAAAGAATTGAGCAGAAATATTAGTTAGGCAGTCAAAAGTAACTCAGCAGAATTCTTTTGAAAAAAAAAGAATAATTACAACAATTGAAGTCAGATGTTGATTGACTGAAATAAGTGATATATATACATGTATATATATTTCTACATGTATGCTAACAGTCAATGAATTTAAGATTTTGAATTGACTGGCCCGAATTTCAGTTTTGAATTTATTCTACTACATATTTAAATTTTCTTAAAATTTACACTGGCCCGAACATATTCACACTGCCCATAGGCCATCGGGCCAGTGCTAAATTTGATGACTGTGCTAACTAAAGAGTCTTATCACATATCAAGCTGGATTTATAATATCATATTGTCCCGTCTAATATGTTAAAGTTTGATATTTTAACAGAATTTTCAATTTCAGAATTCTAAAAATGAGCAAACAACAGGTTTATTTGAGTCTATACTGCTAGCTTAGAACTTTAATTGCCTCTATTGGTGTTAAAAGAGTTTGTTAATAGAGTTGCTGGCCCAGTGGTTAATGTTTCTGCCTGTAAATTTATAGATCATGGGTGTGTGCTCGTCCATGTTTCCTTGAGAGAAAAAAAGCCAATATCATTACTGGTTAGTTCCAGGAATGAGACGAGAAAGAGGTTCAAATAACAAGCTGTCTTCAAAGTCTGTCAGAAATAATATATAGAGTTATAAATAAGACAATCAATACACAGTGAAATAGCTGGTTTTATACAGGGGTATTATTGGCTAAATCTGTCATTCTTCTACATGTTACGATTATAGCAAAGAAAACAAAATCATTTTAAGCTGCAACATTGCCTATGTTATCCAACATGATTATTGTCTGTCCGTTTGTCCAACAATTTCTGCTTATTTTGTTCTGTCCATACTGATCATAGCGTCATAGGACAATCTTAGCTTAATAGGACAATGAAAGAGGACAAAAGTGCAACAAAATAGGCCAGAATTTCTATAATGGATGTATTAACTTGAAAATGAAGATTGTATTTCAGCCCAGTTATCAAGGGAGTATCCACTTTTGTTTAGTACATTTTATCTATAAACAATACTGTTTTAGCATGGTCTTAGTTTTGGTATTTGATAATGACGTAATATTTGACAATGGTTTCAAAGCTGTGGAAAACAGCTGTATTTTAGTTCTTTAGAGAAATACTGATAAAATGAACAGCTGGGTAAGCAGTGAAAATAGCTGATAAATGTGGTAGCTTTTAAAAGCTTGACACATTTCGGTATTGATTACATGGTTAAAATTGCATTATCTTAGCTTATCCTTTCTGATAAAGAGATTTAATTTCTGTTCTCAGATATCTATTTTCTTAATGTTACAATGCTGCATACACTATTGTATTCATATCAATTTATTTAAAATTTAAATACCTGCACCCAAGTACATCTAAACCATTAAACTCTTGTTTAGTTTTAAATTTTGTCATTTGAGAGACGTCTATGATGGATTGGTTGGATACACAGATTTCAAATCTTGTCCTATAGCCAGGTCTTGCCATGGAAATGTTTTTATGTCTGAGAATTAGCATATTGGACATCATTAGTTCTTGATAGGTTCCTCATGCTTGTTGTCAATTTGTCCATAGAATGTAAAGAGACGCAACTTTTTATCTACCCGTAAAGTTTGAAAAATCATCACAAATGACCTTAACAGTGATGCTGTAAGTTGAAAAATAAGGACCTTGAAAATGTTTATTATAATTATTAGAAAATAGCGCACCGAAGAAAAAATGAAGTAACATTTTGTTGGAACTTTAACTTTCAGATTAATTTGCTCTGGAGGCTGGGACACGATCAATGAATGGTTACAAGACGCCAAGGAGTCAGAGAATTTCCCGTTTATTGTGAGATATTGAAGGTGTATCAGTTTGTTGCCAATTCCCCGTGGTATTCTATAAAGACCAAAACGCTGCCAAAACTATAAAACAGTTGTGTAAATCCGACAATGAAAGTAAGTAGTCAATTTTCTGTACAAAAGTTATAAATATTAACATTTGATTCTGATTTTCAATGTAAACAATGATTATAAAAGTGAAAAAAAAAAAAAGAAGAGAAAAAAAAGATTAACATTTCTTTTGAATAAGAAAAATATTCTGATATTCTGGTATATCCTTGAATAACCCAGTAAACAGACCATCCTGATTTTGACATGTGTTCTCTCCTCTTCATTTTACTTGCTGTATTAAAAAAAATATTTCTTTAACTCTAAAAATGAGCAATTTCATCTTTTTCAACTACATCAAAATGACTTGTGTATAAAGTTAGTTGTGAATCTCATTCAGATTAGTTATATTTTTTTCTTTCCAATTTTCAGATACTAAAACTCTGGCTACCAATATCTTTGATGAATGGATGAAAAAAGTGAAGGGAAATAATAATAACTCTGGTAAGGCAGATGTGTGTAACACTTGTAAAATAAATTATATAACAAATATTGCATGCCCATAAAAGGATTTTATTTTTCTTTCAGGTGCTTTATTTCATAATTAAATTGCTGTAGGAATTCATATATACCATATTTAGTCATCTCTTAAAGATGGTTTTTGTTCTTCCAATTATTCGGAATGTATGTTATATGTCACAGAGTCTATGGAAAACTCTAAATTGTCAATTACGACTGTTAAAGTATTTGATTGTTTAGACCCCCTTCAACATTCAGTCTGTCTTAAAAGTGGATGAACTTGGTAGCCAATAAAAAATGAGAAAATACAGCTCTCCTTGTGCTTAAATTAATAAAAGAAATTTGATGGATTATCATTGACAAAGTGGTTGTTGTGAATATTGCACTTGGATATTATAGATCAGTGCAGGTTTGCTAATGCACCGGTCATTTGTTTTACCCTCACACCTTATGGGCAGAGCAGCATGGAAAATGTACCAAATTTTTACTTTCTGTTCATCCCACACTTCTTGGTCAATTTGCTTATTTCATTTAGGCATCAGATTAGAAGTGTATATTTTAAATGGACATTTAGCAGGGGTTTTAGCACCTGACTTACAGATAGGAGTCTGTGTGGGAGGTTTGATACCTTCAAATGTCAGTGTCAATGGTTTTGCTAGAAATATGGTGAATATTCCATGAGGGATGCTTATTTTTTGTAATAAAATACTGATATTGTGTCATTTAATGGTTTTTTAAGGCAATTGGGATTTAATACACCTATTGCATGCTAATGATAATTCATATAGCATTATCTGATTGTTTAAAACGTTCAAATTTTGATGTCCAATTCAAGGTATAATAAACAAATCTTCTAAAAACAAGATATGCGAACTGTACTTATTTCTCTCTTCTTGATAAATCAGTGTGATAATTTGATTTTTATTGTTCAGAAAACTTTTAATGATAAGGTTAAGTGTTTGTGCTTTGTACAATACGTTTGGTGAACCTACGAAAGGATCAGTGCATCTTCTATACAAATGGATGTCATTGCAGGTGTATTCTACATGTAACTTCTATCCCATATAGCCTCCCTGAACTCTATTGCAAATTTATTTAATTAATGATCATAATAAGAACAAAAATCCAAGTTTCTTTGATCTTGCAGAAAAACGTGTTTCTTCCTTGTTTAGAATAAAGATCTAATTCTGGACAAAATGCCATGACAGGCTTTTTGTAATAAATTTAAAAAATTTAGTTTTGTAGGACCCATAGGGGTTTTTAAATGATAATTTAAAAAAAAAGGGGGAAACCCTTTTTTAAAACCCTTTTAAATTTTAAAAGTTTCTTTGCCAAAAGGTTTTTGTCATCTGCTTACGGGTCGGGGACCTTTTAACCAGCCCATTTTTTTTTTAAAAATTTTTCCAATAAAAATTCAAAATTTCTAAAGCTAAAGATCTGAAAATAAATTAAATTTTAGAAATGTTTAGCTTTTTTCTGTCATTTTTGTCCAAAAATTTAAACAATGGTAGAATTGGGGAAATTTGGGAAATGGAATTTTGTGTCAAAGAAATTGGTAAATTTTAAAAAAATAAAGGGATAAAAACTTTTTCCAACAGGGAAAATGGGAAATAATTATAAAACAAGCTAAAAATTTTAAGGGGGAAAAAAAATGGGATGGAAATTGTACAATTTCAAACTTTTGGCATTTTTTCTTCACCTTAAGAAAAACATGTTTCTGTTGTTTGTAAAAGTTGATGATGTTACATTTAGCTGTGCTTGTTTTCTTTAAATTTTCAGATCTGGTAAGTAAATTAAATGAATGATTTGTATGTTTTGTCTATACTTGATACATGTCATGTCAGATTTTACATTGAAAATAAATGTTGAATTTCACTTTAAACTATAGAAACAATATGAACATCCTTCAAATGATTGAATCATAGCTTTATAAGCATTGAATTTCAGGAATATGTCCCACGTATAATAAACATGCAGTTTAATTATAAAACAATTTTACAGAAATGCTATATAAATTGGCATTGTAGGGATGACCTATAATTCAGGGAAAAACCAGACTAGTGTTGTTTTTTTTGGTTACAAATATCTATACATGCATCTCACCAATGTTTGCTAGAATCCTATTGGCTGCTGATCCTTTTTGATGATTGGTTATAAAAGTCCGTCAGTTGTAAAACACTAACACCAGCCCATACCATGAAAAGGGCAGGGGACATGAAATCCTGGTGCCTGGGTCAATGCAGTGGCTGGAGGGGCCGTGGGTATAATTGAATAGTGAATTAGACACTGGAAAAAGGTTTACCTCAAACATGACAAACTGGGCTTCGGTGATTAATTGCTTGCATGGAATATGAAAAAAAGTTCCCTGTGTAAAAAATGCATACTATACATATTACTACTAAATTAACTCTTGTGCATAGAATATGGAAAGTTTCGTGGGTAAAAAATGCATTTTAAAACTTTAGGTTCCTACATATTACTACTGTATATACTGATTGCTTGTACATGTAATTTTATACATGATGTCTTATACTTAACCTTTAACCTCCTAAATTTGTTTAATGGACTTGCCCTAATTTTGAATTTGGATCAGTCCATTTGATTTTAATAATCAAAAAAACAACTAGTCTGATTTTTGAAACCATAATAGATAATACTGACTTTCAAGGAAGGAGTTTACAAATATGCAAATTCAGTAGGGTAAGAGTTGAAGCTACAAGCAATTCTGTCATAAGAGCATTATATAAATATATATATATTGTGTAGTAATTGTATGTCTTTAGAAAAAAATGATTGAGTAATAAAAGGATGAAATATAAATTCATCCAGCGAGTATGATATTTTCAGATGATAAATCAAAGAAGACAAAGAAAGACAGGAAAGACAAAGACAGGGATGAGAAGAAAGACAAAGACGAGAAAAAAGACAGTAAAAAATCGTCCAGTAGCAAAAGTGATAGCAAAACGAATAGTGAACACAAATCATCGCACCACTCGGAGCATAGATCGAGCAGCGAACATCGAAATAGTAGTGATAGTAAATCAAAGAGCAGGGACTCTAAACACTCGCACGATTCTAGTCATCACAATCACAAGTCAGATTCAAGTAAAAAGAACCGAGACCGCGATCAGAAGATAGAAGAGGAGAACACAGATTCTAATTCCAATGATAGTGTCGAAAGTGACGATAAAGTGACCGTTAGGCAAGGTTCGGGGCTCAAGTTGCATATTAAATTAGGAAATGATAAGGAACGGACCTCAAGTAAATCAGACGAAACAGATAAGAAAAGGATGTCAACTGTTAAAAGACCGCCAAGCAAATTTAGATCAACAGGTTGTTATATGTTGAATAAAGATTTGTGTTTTTTAAATGATTTCGATCGTGTAAGAAGCACAATCTAGCAGTGCCTTTAAAAAAAAAGAAAAGGAAGGAATTACAGGGTTTGAGTATTACTAACAGACGAGTTCCTATGATCATTCACTTTAAAAAAAAATGTCCCAACCTTTGTGAAACTTATTTTACTTTTAAACATAAATTCTTTAATAAAGAATTACAAGTTTTATAAAAAAAAAAAATCAAAGCATGCTCTTTAGCAGACATTTTTTTGCGTATCTGAGCTGAATTACATTTTTGTAATGGCTGAATTACATTTTGTAATGGCTGAATAACATTTATGTAATGGCTGAATTACATTTCTGTAATGGCTGAATTACATTTTAGTAATGTAACTTAGGTAAATAAGTAATTCAGTGAGGACAAAACAAAATTCAGAAAACCAATACAGCTTATTCATAACTTAAGTTGAAAAGAAACAAGTAGTAAATAGTGAACTAACACACACATAAACTTTAATAAATATACATATTTTGACTGAATAACTACACATTAGGTTAAGTCTGTAGCGTATGTTCAAGGTAATCAAGTCAGTACATTACTACTTCCACTGTATTGATTGTAAGCAATTACAACTCATCCATTTCAACTGCTGTGATTGGTCTATTTAAAAATTTCAAGATTAAAACCAGCCAATCAAATGCGAGACTGTTGACTGGTATGACTACAGTATTTTGACTGGTTCCAAAAAAATCAAATTTCAAGATTTAATGACCGACCACAAGTTAAATAAAACTTGTTTTTGTTGTGTTAGGTAGTTGGTATGTAGTTTCAGCATTTTTACAGCAGTTGCATGAGGGACACTAAATTGGCAACCAGGTAATAAGAGAGTCATTGACAGGTAAGAACATCAACCCTGAACATTACCATACAATGCATAGTACATATATTAAGGATATATTGAAATTCATGTTGTTGATTTTCTTTTCAAAATGGCAAGAATGAAAGTACAGAAAAATATATATGTAAAAAAAATAATTTTTAAAGTTAACTTGCGAGTTCCTTGCATATATTTATTTCAAGTTCATGTCATTGGAAAGTTTTGGATAAATGTACAATGTCCAAAAAAAAAATACACTAATTATCACAAAATTGGAATGTGAAACAGGTGTGCCACATGTGGCCAATTCTATAGTGCGGGAGAAATTAACAAAGAGATTGCAACAAAAAAGAAGTGAAGTTCTCATGGACCTATTTAAAGATATCATATTTAACCTCTAGATTGTCCTTTTTGTCCGAAATTATTGATGAGATTCTAAAAAGTGAATTGATAAAATATTTAACAGTAATGTTATTATATTATGTTCAGTCCATAGGGTAGGGACAATTTTATGATACGATAATGAAAGGAAAAGTACCATCATGTATATACTTGGTATGGATATTTGTGTTTCAAAGCATGATTGGTGCATTGGTTCAGCTAATTTAAAAGGGTTTGCATTACTGCCAAAAAGCTATAAAAATGACATATGAAGATGTACTGTCATATTGCTGTTTTAGAATGGATATAGGTTTGAAAATAATACAAAATTATTTCAACTACATAACATAATAAAATTCAACTTCACTACCTGATCAGCTACAATGTATCAGGGAGATTCAGAAAAAAAAAATACCATACTGGGATATTGGGCTGACAGCATTCTTTAGACATATAAAGTATCGTATTTTCACCATTTAATGCCCCGTGTGCGTTTTTTCAAAAGGGGGGGTGCTTATTAGAACTGTAAAAATTGCGTAAGATACGTTTTAAATTAAAAAAAAAAAAAATTATTAAAAATACAATTCAATTATAAAAATCTTTATTCATTATGCATTATTATGATCTAATATATAATACAGGATTTTTTTAAATGATTTTACATTACTGGAGTATCATTAAGTGTTATTTTTACATAAAACTATTTGGAATGCCCTTGGATTGTTCTTTCTATGGATTACAAATGTACATGGTAAGATTTTTTCACCTGCTGTTTGGGGTGGAAGGGGCACTAGTTTGAAGGGTGTGCCATTGATTGTAAACAATACGGTATATCGTTTAGTTGATAAGTAACTATTGATTTCCTATGATGAGTCCATACCCTTTCAGTTTACTGTAGTTTAGCTATATGAAGGCTTGATTTAGTATTGAAATACAGGAATAAAATGGTTGCTTAGGCAACTTGTGGTTAAAGTTACTAATTATACCAGATTTCTTCAAATCATCTTTAAAAGGCAATTGATCTGAGGCAATTCTTTTATAGTTACTCTTTTAGTATTGAAGAGGATGTATTCTTTCTTGTTTAAAAACTAGTACTATAACTATTTGAGCCCTGTTACATGACTAGTAAAATAACAGTTAAACCTGCTTCGATGGTTACGAGTAAGCACTTGCCTTATGTTGTATGTGAATTTAGCAGTTTTGTTTGATACTTATAGGGTCAAGGTCACATGGTTATGATAAAGGTCATAATGTCACCAAGGGTCAGTTAAGGTTAATTGAAATATTTTTGGGCCCATTTTATTCACTTCATGACATTTTACTTTTGTTCTTGTTGGGATTTTGATCTATACTATTTTATCTTTCTATATTTTTTTCTGCTAATGTCACTTTCCTATTGGTCAATTTCAAATTCGATATTATCTGATTCTACATAATATTCCACATAGATTTGTGCAATCAAATTTTTAATGAGAATTGCTTTCTGATTATGCAGATTCATACACAGTTTCCTGAAAATGAACTGTCTTGTAAATAATTGAGATTAAAAAGATGTATTTGAAGATATTAAAAGAATGCTCCTTTGAATTTGCCTTAAATTTTTTTGAAAGATATTTATTGCATAAACATTTCTTTTAGCTTTTTTCCTCTCTTTTGATAGATCTAATTTGTTCGGTCTGGCTAGGAAAAATATTGGAAAATGAAGTAAAAATTTTAAAAATTGCATAACTTTTAGGCTTTGGTATATACAAAATATTGAAAGCATTGTGCTGCAATCAATCAATAGCAAAAAAAGCAGTTCAGTTAGGCCCAATAGGTGATTAATGAAAAATAATGTATGAAAAAGAAACTTCTTCAGACCAACTTTACTAAAACCTCATAATTTGCAATGCAGAACTTTATACAAACATGGCGGACTCTAGCCGGGTGTTAAAACCAGCTCATGTTGCAATTACATTATATAACAAGAAAAAGTGTCTGGACTGTTGTCAACTCTCGAGTGCAAGAGTTAGAGTAATTAAGTGTTAGATCTTGATGTAAATACCTGCAGCAGATAAATGGCTGAATACTGCAAGATAAGCCTGCCGGCTTCTTTTATGCCAAGATATGATGCATTACACTCACTTAGTATGCTAAAACTGCATGTAAGTGGTTATTGGGAAAAGTCTCTATAGGGAGAGCATGGTCCTTTTTCATGCCATAAATTTTTTACCTAAAAAGGGAACTGTGCCAAATTCAAACTAGGATAAAGGACCAATTAAAAAAGGACAAAAGGCCCAGTAAATCTTACTTTCCCCTTTGTACTTACCTCTTTTCTGCCCATGTTCCTAAGAAAGTAAGCCCAAACATTCCTGAGGTAAAAAAATAAAGACGGGCAGTAAAGAAAAAGTAAAAACCAGCCCAGACCTGTTTTGAATTCAATCTAGGAAGGGGGCGATTAAACACAAAAAAACAGTATGGTAAAAGGTGAAACAAACAAAATGGACTGCCCAAGATTAAAAAAGTAGACTTGGCCATTACACAAAAAAAACAATAAAAGGTGAAAGTTTCCATTTAACCACTAAATGCAAAGAAGGGTTAAGGGCCAAATTCGCAGATGCACTAAATGGAACAGTCTAAATAAGTTGTGGCATTTAAGCCTGTTTACTGGGAATTAATAACGGTAATTAAGACTAGAAAAATTTAAATTAGTTAGTACTTTAGTGTGCCACTTCTGTTTTGATTCTGACTCAACCCTAAAACAAATGGTAGATAATATTTGTATAAATGGTTTTTAATTATCTGAAAGTCCTTCAATTGATATTTGTTAATAAGAAATGGGTTAAACTCTTCAAACGCGTTAAAAATGTCAACTCGGTACATTTTAAACTTTTACTGGTTGCCTCCCTTTACCTGTTAAGCCCATGTAAAAGAATCTTTTAAGCATGCATTAAATCAACAAGTTTTCCCCAAAATTAACAATTAATTGAATTTTAATTGAATGATTTTTCTTCAAATATTCAAATGACTCAGCAATATGCATGAGGCATTGGAGTGTGGAAAATCAATAGTATATTCAAATAGCACTGAAGTAGTAATATGATGAAATTTTCAATAATAATAAAAAAATTTAAAAAAACTTAAATAATCTTAAGGAAAATATTATAAAATATAGTTTAAATAATCTTAAAAAAATATTATAAAATAGGAAAATAACTTAAAATATAGCTTTGAAACGCAAAATTTTAGTAAAAAATTAAAAAATGATTTATAAACATTTCTATTTGCACAGATAAGAATTAAAAAGAGTGTTATATAATATTTCTTGAAATACTAAAGAAGCCAGGTGAGCGGCCACTTTTAAAGCTTTTCAGACCGCGGGTTTTTAACTGAAGTAAATCATTTTAAATTTCCTTGTGCTGAAAAACCCAGTGAATTTTAACATCAAAGACAGCCTAAAACAATCAAACAGAACAAGGCAATCGAGAAAATTTTAGCTATTTAAATGTCATATTCTTTAAGGAAAAGGTAAAAGAATGAAAAAAAAAAAAACTTTGAGTATTTTTTGTGAAGTAAAATTATAATTTTATGAAAATAATATGGTATGTTATATTGTGATTGATAACATATTTGAGGAATATTACGGTAATATCTACTTGACTTATATATAGAAATAACACACCTGTGGTAAAATATTATTTGATCTCTTGTGTTTTCCTAAAAGGCATTTAGCTATTTAATGTAACACAAGTAAACACATATCATCACCTTAGTGCAGTAAAAATATTAAACTCCAGTAAATTATATAAGGGGGTTAAACCCATTACTGCAGTAAGAATGAGAATATAATTA